GCGCGCACTGGGACGCGCGCGCGCCGATCCCGGTCAGGGGCCTCGGCGGCGCCGGGGACTCGAGGGCTGTTTTTATTCTCGCACCGCTGAGATCACACAGGTTGAGATCTCCGAGATCGTGCGAAGGAGGGGTAGGAAGGGACTCTCAGAAGTGAAGATCTGGGGACCCCAGTGACTCCCTGGACAATAGCTGGAGCCAGGGGGTCCCTGGGGCCTTGGGAATCAAGTGCCCGACAGAAAATGGGCCTCAGAGGCATCTGTTGAGTTCAGAAAGAAATGAATGGGGGCGCCTAGAATTTATCTTTGGAGGAAAAGTTTCATTACAGGGTGTTTCGAATCTTATGATACAGAAAGATCCGAAATTTGACACCCAATACAAAGAAGGAGAGAGAGCTTTATTTTCAAAACTGAACTCGCAAAAAGTGGGACGAGAGGGCAGTACCAGGAAACCTTATGTATTCCAAATGAGCTTTGTTGGGGAGCAAAGAAACACCGGGGTGCTGGGGGAGCTCTGGGGCTCTTCTCCCCACCGGCACCATTCTGGGGCAGCTGCGCAAAGACCCCTCACTAAGCTGCTTCCAGGAGTTACCCCAGGCCCCCGGGGCCTTTCTCCTCCTGCCCCTCCCCTACCAGGCCTCTAGCCTTTGTTTGTTTTTAACAGCAGGAAACTCCCGTGGTGAGAAGTTACCTCCAAAACCTCTAGCGGGTGGCGAGTTACAAAGCCCTGTGAGGTGTGGCCTAATCCACAACGCCAGCCTACAAGCTGCAGGGGTCCCTGTCTGGTAGGAGAGAAGGGCCTCCCACAAGCCTGTCAGCTGCCGGGGCTGAGGGCTGCGCTCCTCACCCTCCCCTCCTTCTAATTCCCTGCTTGCTGGGACCTTAAAAAGAGAATCCCTGAACCCCAACTGGGGCCGAATAACCTGGTGCCCGTTCCTGGCTGGTCCTGGGGCAAACCTGCAGCCCCTGTCATCTTGTTTCAGTCCCTCCCTCCCAGCCCTCTTGGAAAAAGAGAAGGGAGGAAGGCAATTAACATTTATTGATGACTTTCTTCAAGTGCTGCCCCCGATTCCAACTTCACGATGACTCTTGAGGCCCTAGGCGTCCCTATGCCTCCCATTTACAGATGAGGCAGTTGATAACCCTTACTTAAGAGCCCTGGCAGCAGAGATGGGATTTGAACCCAAAGCTCTGTGAGGCCTCAGTCCATCTTCTGGCCACTGCACCCAGCTGGCTGCCTTATAGAGTTGAAGATAACATCCTTGGTGGAACTCTTTGCAAAACAAAAGTTCTTTACACAGCTGCCGTCTTGGGATACTTCAAGAAATGTTTGCTCACCTGTAAAATGGGGCTAGAGATGGCTTTCCTCTCAACCTCCTAGGGCAACTGTGGGAATCCGATGTGAAAAGCTTTGCAAACAGTCAAGTGCTATAAAGGAGCAGAACCTTCCCCTGGGGCCGCTGCTAATGTGGGAAGAGCCCTGTGGGGGAGAGGCACAGTCCTGTTACATTCCCATTTGTGGAGCATCGCCGTGTTGCCATCCTCCTCTTTTCTGGGAATGAAATGAAAGACAAAGGTCCCTAACCTAAGGAGCTCACAGCCTAGCGTAGTGCCAAGGGGTAGCAGGTACGTTCCTGTGAGAAAGGGGCCCTTGCCTTCCGTCATCCTAGTAAAACACGTCTTTTAACCTGAACGTCAAATCGGGCTGATCCCACTGCGGAGAGGCAGTCAGATCAAGTAAAAGGACCTCAGGCTTCACCTGGCTTTCGATCCTGGCTCTCTCCCTCCCTTCACCTCACTGAGCATCTGTTCTCTGCACTGGAAGAAAGGAGCACACAGTTGTTACTGTGAAGAGCGGTGACTCTAGGAAGAGCATTAAAGTTGTTCTTCTCCAGCGTGTGCCCCTCATTTCACAAGGGCAGGAGCCGTGCCTGGGAAAGTGCAGTTTGCACTGTGATGGTGAGAAGCCCACGAGAGATCTGAGGATGGAAGGCAGTGGGAGGGCCTGGCGTGGGCCTCAGCCCCTGAACCACAGCCTGGGAAAGGCCCCTTGTGTTTTCAGCCCTCGCATTTTCCTGAGGGGAGGAAGCAACTCGTCAGCAGCTAGTCAGTGTGGCCGAACCAGGCTTCCCCGCACCTCCTTCACATGCCGCCACCCTGGGACGGGGGCATGCAGGAAGACAGTGCGGGACCCACGTGTGAGTCTAGCAAGGGCCATTTCTGGGCTGGTTCTTTCTCCTCTGGCCTCAGTTTCTCCATGAGAAGAAGTGGGGAAATAAGCCCAGTTTCACAAAGCAGCGAGGAGGCCCGAGGAGTGGATTCCTCCAGGTGCCACAAGGACCCTGTCTGCTCCCTTGACTTTGGGTGGTGAGTGGGTGGGCGGCTCTGGATGGAGAGGAGCTCGGTTCTGGCGCCTGGTCTCCTGGGGCCCAGCCACGCCGGCTTCTGCAGAGATTGTCCTCGGAAGGGAAACATTGGCCCGGTTAATTTTTCATCACGGTAAGTGCAAAGTTCAAGAGAGGCGGGATGGGGCTGGAGGCAGCGACTCTGTTTCCCTGGAAATAGTCAGTCCTGTCGGGGAGGAGCCCCACAAGCGGACTTGCCAGAAGGTTGTCATGTCTTTGGAATGGCTCCCAGGTGGAACACGGGAAAGAATAAACAACTGCCTCAATTCTGATGATTTTTCCATTAGTAAAGGGTGTTTAATCAGTAAATGATGAATCTAGAAAGAGCAGTAAAACTGTTCTGTCTTCATTTTACACAGACATAAAGTGACGACATGGTAAAGGGAAGTGGTTGCAATGTAGAGATAGAGTCAGGATCTCATCAGGACTCATCAGGGACTTTCATCAGCGTGTCCTCACCGGAGAGAGAGCCTCTGTCTTCACTCAGACCACTTTCTTCAGCTCTCTGTAGCATCTTATACACGTGAGCTCTCCTGTGGCACCAGACAGACCTGACTTAAAACATTTAGTCTAACCACATGATCCAGCAGTCCCACTCCTGGGCATATATCCGGAGGAACTCTAATGCAAAAAGATACTTGCACCCCAGTGTTCATAGCAGCGCTATTTACATCAGCCAAGACATGGAAGCAACCCAAATGTCCATTGACAGATGACTGGATAAAGAAGTCGTGGTATATTTATACAATGGAATACTACTCAGCCATAAAAAAGAATAAATAATGCCATTTGCAGCAACATGGATGGACCTAGAGATCATCATTCTAAGTGAAGTAAGCCAGAAGGAGAAAGAAAAATACCATATGATATCACTCATATGTGGAATCTAAAAAAAAAGACACTATGAACTCATCTACAAAACAGACTCACAAAGTAAACAATCTTATGGTTACCAGGGAAAAGGCGTGGGAAGGGATAAATTTGGGAGTTTGAGATTTACAAATGTTAGCCACTATGTATATAAATAGATTTTAAGTTTCTTCTGTGTAGCACAGGAAACTATGTTCAATATCTTGTAATAACCTTTAATGAAAAAAATATGAAACTGAATATATGTATATATATATATATATATATATATATGCATGACTGGGACATTGTGCTGTACACCAGAAACTGACACATTGTAATTGACTGTACTTCAATTAAAAAAAAACTAGTCTGCTGTTTTCAGCTCTGTAACTTTGAGAAAGTCCCTTAATTCTGTGTGTCAGTTTCCTCATTCATATAAGGGGCATAATAATAACATCTGCCTCTTAGGAGTGCTGTAAGGAATCAAATAACCCATGTAGACAGCTTTCCACAAGCACAAAGTATGTTTTCAATACACAAGGGTATGACTGGTGCTCACCAGACAGTGCCATGCACAAGGAGTTCTGCCTGTCCAGAACAGTGGATGGATCTTAAAAGCAGTTCCAAGTGAAGACAGTAACACAGAGAATGAAATAAATAACAACGCTACTTATGTAAGAAATTACATATACACAGAACAACTGTATACATTTTGAAAGAAGCTATGCAAACAAAAAGACACACATTGAGCCACTTCACACCCATTAGGATGGCTATTAACAAAAAAAGAGAAAATGCAAGTGCTGGTTGAAGATGTG